TCAAGAGTGTCATTTCCCGAGCCAAGCCGCGAGAACGTCGGTGTACAAATAATTCAGATGATAAACGAATTAACTCGAAATGGGATGATGAAAGGCACATTTAGGGCGGCAGGAGCCCCCGGGTTCTGCCTTAATGCGAGGGCTGATGTAGCAGAACGTTTGACCCCTCGCCTCACCGACGCAAGATGGGAGAACGAAACAAGGAGAGCGGGGCAGACAGAGATCGCGAGTACGACACACGTGCTCGGCTCATGAATCAAGTCGTATTAGCGAGAGAGAAGTAGGGACCGCCGGGTACCAATCTACCATTCCAACTTGGAGTAGATTGGATTCTCGAGCTTTATTCGATTATCCACGAACGAACAGCACGAATTGAATGTGGCGCGACTCTCTGGCATAACCCGGCGTTTCGCTCCGCAGCTTTGGTAATCGGAGCATAAACAACGAGCTGGACAGTGATAAACGACGTAACGAAGTAAATGAAACAAAAAGGTGGCAGTTACACTACCGTTTCCTTCGGTATCAGTCGTTTGAAAATAACGGCTTAGATTCCTGATGACTGTGGAATAGAAAACGATGGAAGGCATTATAAAAGATCCCGAAACAAATAAGGAATATCTAAATCAAATTTGTGTTTATCACGTTTGAGCCATACGAATTGTATTAATTTGTTAATTCACGCGGACGTAACACGCGTTTCTTACTTTTACATAATTATTTGGTCGGGTGGGAGGGTAAAAATGGGGGAATACATTGTGGGGATGATCGTTCTCGTTTCGAATACTGTCGCGATAGGTGGCATTCGGGAATCAACATGAAACGGTTCATGGCGATGAATATTTCCACATACCTCGATGGTCGAATTGGTTGAGACGCTAGTGAGAGGGAGATCCAGGTTCAAATCCTAACTAAGGTAATATTTTTCGCAATAAAGTTAAAGTATGAAATGTTTAGACACCAACATCCGCTCTTAGTCCTTTGTTCCTTCAAAGTTGCGTTTATCACATTTGAGCCATACGAATTTTATGAAAAAATATCTAGCTCTTTCATGGCATTGTTGGAAATTAACAGAAAACATTAGCGTTTACGATAAACCGTGCATACATGTTGATAGCGACATCACTTTCTGTTCTATTGCAAAGGGTTGAAACGATCAAACCAGCAAAGAACGATGGTAGCCGAAGATATGGAGGCCTCTAATCGGCAAAATCTCGCGCGCTGGATAGCCGATGGCTGGATATCCGCCTGGGCGATCGGTATTCTTCAGTGGATATTTGTGTAGCGTGAGTTTTTACGATTGTGTTATAAAAGGGAGGCTCCAGTATCACGTGTTTGTAAGCTATTTTCCGTCGTGCACACCTGCCCCTACGGTGCGTGTATCTGCGCCCGTGTACCATCGAGACCAAAGCTCCATATTTACGTTTGGCAATGTACAAACGAGTGTCGTCGCCTTTCATGCCAGCGTCCAATATTCAAATGATCCTTTCAACGAAACGTTATCGTATCTATTCGCTTGGTCATGTTCAAAATTATCGCGCCATCCATCCATTTCCTTGAATATGTTTCAGCTACCGATATACGAAAATAACATTGGGGCTGCCGACTTAAGTATTGTATAATAAATACAATTTTAGTTCGCACTGTTGCCTAGCACGATATTTGGTCGATAAAAAAATATTTAGGATAAAGTTTGCACAAGTTAATTTGAAATGCTACTTTAGAATGATTACCATGATTATTATTATCATTATCAAGTTTCAAGCATTGTGTCTCGATACATGCTACTTCTGTGCTTTAGTGCAAAAACCTCATAAAAACTTATTAAAATTTCCTGCAAGGATCACGATATGATAGAAATATTAAATTTCAAGCATTGGGTTTTAGAGTGGTGATAAATATTTCTATGTTTCAGCGTTGAGAAATCTTCGTAAAAATTCTTCCAAATTTTCCGTAAAGATCGCAATATAGTTAAATAATAAATGAAAATAATAAAGACTTTCAAGAAATCGAAATAGAGGCATTAGAGTACACCATGGTTGTTCCGTGTGTCAAGATATCGTTGGTATATTTAATTTAGTTACATAATATAATTACTGCAATACGATAAACGGATATTTCAGCTCTGCTTTGCGAAATCTTCAGCGTTAAATAAATTAAGTTTGGTTTTCACGTTCTCTCTCGTTCTATAATGAACGCTTTGATATTAAGGGGATGCTGGAGTGATTCTGCACTTTTGCACCTTTCTAACCTAAAAACTGTCAGTTCAC